TAATGCAAGAAAATGATATCTTTGATGGCGTGCGACTTGTGATTCCTGCTTGTTGAAGATTTCTTGATGGGGTGGGGGGAGGCTTTAGGTTGAGAATAGTAGAGATGATGGTGTTTCTTGGCCTTGGGGAGGGGAATCTTTCTTGGATGCTGAAGGGTTAGATCTATATGGACCCTTGGATATAGAGAAAAGAGGATTATAGAGGGGAAGCATGTGAGTGAGACATAGGAAAAGCACTCGACAAGAGAGCGGTGATAGACTAGAGCGAGTAGAGAGAAGAATTGATATGCTTTTTCAGTAATTAGATTTCTATTGGATTTATGTGCATCATTTTTCCAGTAATTAGATTCTATTGAAGTGTAGCACTCGATCAACCACACATCTTTTATCAGCGTTTTTTCAGTAATCATATTTCCATTGGATTCATGTGCATCACTTTTCTATGAATTGCCTTTCTTTTCAAAATATTTGTAGTGGTTTACATTTTGATGTAAGGTTGCTTGTTATGTGTTTGTGCCATGAGAAAACCAACAACAACATCAAGCCATAGTTGTATCAGTTCTTGTTCTTATGAAAAATCTTTCTTGTAAATATGTTCTCCATGCACTTTTCATTTTAGCAATTCATCTAAATCTCTTTTTAAATTTTTATTGTTTGTTAACTAAGTTCTCGATCTCCTTCACCATCAGAATGAACTTTTTGTTCAACCTCTTATTCTACTACAGCCAAGCCAATCCACTTATTTTGAACAACATTTCTTATTTTGAAGAAATTTGAGTAAATCAAATGTCATGCTGGTTGTTATGCCAAGCCATCTTTGTCTCGCAGGCTCGGTGTGCATCTGGCACAAGCCCCATTCCAAGCGATGCATGTTTGAGGAAGATGCTAAAGAAGTTACTTTGTCTTTATTCAACGCTCCATGGAATTGTTAACACTAGTTAAAACAATAAAGCTGATTTTTTGGTCGATAGGTATTTCACTTGCCTACTTCAACTAGATATCACCATAGGTGTATCTCTTACATGCTTTAGCCTTGGACACTATGCATTTATCAATGGACTGACTCCACTAGTGCACACGTTCATCCTTCAATTTGTTGTCCTAATATCATTTAAGCTTGTCAGGCAGTTAGTTGCTGTCATATTAGCGCCTACCTTTCATTTTGTGCTATGCTTTAAGGCAAAACTTGGAGTCGGCATAATTATCTAAATGTCTTTAGGATTAACAACATGATGATTTTTTTTTTCTGACTTCTTGTATACTCTTGTTCCTTATGATAACTTTGCTTATGGTGATTCATTTTTGGTTAAATAGATTTTGATTCTAGATGAGGCGGATAGACTGCTTGAAATGGGATTTCAAAAACAAATCACTTCTATTATATCTTGCCTACCAAAGCTCCGACGGACAGGTCTTTTTTCAGCTACTCAAACTGAGGCTATTGAAGAACTTTCCAGGGCTGGTTTAAGAAATCCTGTTAGGATTGAGGTTCGAACAGAGTCTAAGCCAATGGCAAATCTGGCATCCTCAGAAGAATTAACCTCAACAAGAACACCTTTTGGCCTTCATATGGAGGTATATCAATTTATAATTATTAACTGTTCCTTTGGTTTCCAAAGTAATATTTTGGTTTCTTGGCTCTTTATATTCAGTTTATTTTGATATTCATTTGCCATTGCCCATTTATGCATCTTTCATGACCAATTTATATTCAAATCTTGGTCAAGTTTTTACGTTATATATTTACCATGCACCATTTTTTGTGGATGGTGATGCTCAACTAAACAAATATAATCATTGGTGGGACACAATATTCACATTATTAATATCATTTTGAAATTTTAATTTTATAATATTAAAGTGAATTCAAATTATGAATTTGAATTTTAAAATTTAGTTGGAATCTATTAGTCAGTTGGAGCTATTGTTTGCATGCCTATTTCATCATCTTATTCATAAGCCGAGCTGTTTCCATTTTTGCTTTCTTTTTATTTGATTGGTTGAGCTGGTTTGATTGCATTATTTTTTGTTGATCTTGTGTTCTTGGCTCATTTGTTTTATAGGTCTTTGTATCCTCTTTCCCTAGCTATATTTTGGCTTGCCATTCTTCTTTCAGGTTGTTAGACTTGATTTGTGGTATTGTAGGTAGTGATACTTTGTCGGGATTGTGTAGAATTGTTAGGTGGATCCTTGGGTATTCATTAGGATTATCCATAGTGATTTAAGCATTCAAAGCAAAAAATTATTTATCTCACTTATTATATGTATTCTTTTTTTAGGTATTATAGTCAAGCTTGGCTTAGTGAAACTCCAAATTGTGTTGTTTCATATAAAGTTGCAAAGATATCAAATGAGAAGACAAATGCTTGAAGAGAATTTTTCTAAAAATTGAAGATAAATCAATGATTAATTTATAGTTTGCGAACTTCTTTGGATTTAGTGGTATTTTTGCTGATCATGACTCCATAGCTTTCAAATGCCCTATGAAGAATGGAAAGGCGTTGTGGATAATTTATGATGCTAGTTCCCCACAGCTATGAAATTTAGCTTTTAAATAGTTTACTCAACTATATTTCTCTTTTTATTGTAGAATAAATTGGAGTATATGCTTTGTTGCCATTAGAACGAGGAACAAGACCACTCAACATGATGAATATTTAATGTTTTACATATTAATCGTTGCCTTTTTCTTGGATAATCTTAGAATATACTTAAGAGAGACTATGTTATGGGACATTGGTGAGGTACATTAAGTGCAATATATGATATTTTAATAATTCAAGTTGCTAATCTCTCTCTTGATGAGCCATCTTTGAAAACTATATATTTTTTTAGATGAAGGCGAATGTGTGAGTGAAGAGGGCATGGGTGCTAGTGCTAATAATGAACATAATTATGAGTGCGTTAACTCCAATTAGGTTTACTTATATAGTTGCATTTTGTTTGGTTATTTTGAAGGAGGCATTGATATTTTCATTTACTTTTTTAGAGGGTTTTTTCTGGCATTTTGTAAGAAATTGTTAGACCGGTCAAGCCGGCCCACATGGGACTGGCTTAGGCAGAACAGAGGCGAAAGTTCCGCCTCTCTTGCATATGCCGATCGGACCGCAGAATTTAAGGGAGCTTTTTGGGAAATATTTTTGAGGGATTTGGGAGGGGAATTTGAATGTAGGGACTGTTCAGAGGGCATCTTGAATTTGGCTGAAATTTGAGATACCTTAGATTTTTTGAGCTCTAGCAGCGTCTAGAGATTTGGGAGAGATAGATCCTCCTCTTGAATAGAGGATCAATTGTATCTTGGTATTTTCCGTTTCTATTTCATCAAATAAGACAAATTATCTGCTGTTTTCTTGGTTTTGTGTGGATTCTTGCGGAGAATGTTTGCTATTTTCCAAAAATTGGTAGGAAATTTTTGAGATCTTCAAGTGTTTTCTATCAAATCGGTATCATAGTGCTTTCTTGGGTGGAAAAATAAGATAACTTCATTGTTTTTGCAATTGGAACCTAGATCTAATTAATGATAGCAAAGAAGATGAAGGCGCTGGAAGGCGAGATGGAGCAATTCAAAACCGGCGTGGATAAGTTCTCTACCATGGAAGAAAGATTTTTACATATGAAAAACCGATTTAGAAGGGTGGAGGAGATATTAAGAAGGCTCTTGGAAATGCAAACAAAAATTTTACTGGTGGTTCCGATGGCTAAGCCTAACCAAGATTTGACCTGGATTCCCTTGGCCGAATCGAATGTAAAGGAAACTAGACAAGAGGAGTTTGATGAGGGAAGTTTCTTTCATCAAAAGCCACCTCCTAGGGCTCCGATAAGGGGTGGATCAAGGTTTGTGGATGAGGGGACAACATAGAGGAAGTCTTTTGGTGGAGAAGGTATGGTGGCCGACTACTATGAGAGGTAGTTTGGGTAAGGGGAGTGGGCCATCGAGGAAGGAGGGGGTCAAGAGCCATTTCCTAGGTCTTTGATAAGGGACAAAACATGGTTATCAAATGGGGGGGACAACAAGAAGGGAGTTTCGTGGTGTCAGTGGTGGGGCGGCCGACCACTATGGGAGGTCTTTTGGGTGAGGGGAGTGGACGACCAAAAGAGGGGGACGGGCCGAACCATGGGGATCGGGTTATGTGAGGCGAAGGGAAGGAAGGCGCGATTCCCACCCATGATACATAGGAGAAATATGGAGGGATCACGACAATCGCTACACTGGAAGAGTAAGCAGCTATTGGGGTGGTAGTAATCCTAGGGTGATAAAATTTGGGGTGGTAGTATTTGAAAGGGAGGATCCTTATGGGTGGGTGTACCGGGAGGAGATGTATCTCATGGTGAATGGGATGACAGAGGAGGAGAATAGTGGCCTTATGTTTGGAAGGGAAAGCTTTAGCTTGGTTCCAGTGGACAATAACATGACCACTAACAGATCAGCTGAAGAAAGCTATCAACAGCGCCCCATCCTTCAACCTTGAGGATAAGAGTGGGTCTTTGTGAGAGGAGTATTGTTAGACCGGCCCATTGGATTGGTCCATCCGGCCCACATGGAACCAGCCCAGGCGGAACAGAGTCGGAAGTTCCGCCTCTCCTGCATATGTCGATCCGATCGCAGAATTCAAGGGAGCTTTTTGAGGGATTTGGGAGTGAAATTTGAATGTAGTGACTGTTTAGAGATTTCCTTTTGAATTGTATGCATTAAATAGTTTGTTTTTCTAAGGTTAGGACATCTTGAAATTTGCTAAAATTTGAGATCTCTTAGCTTTTTCGTGCTCTAGCAGCATCTAAAGATTTGGGATAGATAGATCATCTTCTTGAATAGAGGATCAATTCAATTGTATCTTGGTATTTTTCATTTCTATTTCATCAAATAGGACAAATTATCTATTGTTTTCCTAGTTTTGTGTTGATTCTTGTGGAGAATTTTTGATGTTTTCCAAAGATTGATGGGAAATTCTTGAGATCTTCAAGTGTTTCCTATTAGAAATACTTAAAAAAAAATTGATAGCTGATAATGATTAATAAAGGCTTATGTGATTCTGTTATTATTAATAATGTTTGTTTTTTTCTTTAATCTTTAGAAAATTTCTTTTGTGAAATATATGCATATGATATTATACTTTGCCTGTGATGCCTTTAGTAGAAAATTCTAAAAATATGTATTTTATATTAATAATTTATAAAATATAATATTATTTTAATTATGTGTCGTGTCTTACTTTTTGTAGTTATGTCGTGTCGTTATGTTTGAGTACTACTATTTTCGTGGTTTGTGGAGTGTGAGGCTTCTTATTCATCGTCTTCTTCCCTTTTTTCCTCTCTAACTCCTTTTTGTCAAAATTTTATTTATTAAAATATGATTGAATTTGGTTAGATTTATTTCAATCTAATTTTTGTTTTTTTCTTTTTTTTTGTGAAATTTCATTCATGGGAATGGTTTTAGTGATCCTTAATTGTCTTTCCATTATTTGCTAGTATAAGACCAAAACTCTTTCTTCGTACAAATTGGAGTTTACTATTTCTGGTTTCATAGCAAACTATTGTTTTATGATTAATAATTTGTTTGGCATGGAATTGTCATGCTTATTGCATTGGTTGGCTGCATTAAATCCATATTGCATTCTAGCTATCCTAGATGCTAGAACATTACATCAAATTTAGTATGATAGCCTCAATATCGGGTCATTTAATAGTTCAACAAATGGATTCAATTTTAAAAAAAAGCTATAAAATTACTGAAATGCTATATAAATATGATCAAATGTGGGAGGCCGTGAATTAGGATATAGGAAGAATTGAAAATTTGAAAGCTACTAATTCTAAAACTAATAAGCCCCTTGATGAATAAGAATTTGAGTTCGATTCTAAAGATTGACTGGTCTTTTCAAAGTGCAAAGCACACTATAAAATCCGGGGTTCTTTTTTTATTCATGCTTAATGTGTATACATGTATTTATATATACATATATATGTATCTATATTTGTACATCCTTTCATATGTTTTTCTGTATATACATGCATATTTGTGTATGTTTGTATATGCACACATACATACATACATAAACATACATACATATAATACCCATTGAATGAACAAAACTTAACCACATTACTTAATAATTTTTAGCAAATATATGGATACATGTAATAATGATAAGAACTTGGATTGTTGAATAAATGATTAAAATTATTTGTAAATTTGAAAGGAAATATGATTTGTTTATCTAATTTGAAGACAATTTTCAAAATTTAACTTATAAGTATAAAATAACATGAAAGCAAATTTGACTTAATAAAAATTGCAACATAAATCAAAACAAAAGTGAAAGAATACAATGATTCTCAAGCTAGAGGAGGAATCAAAGATATAAGGATTTACATTACCGAAAAATGCTTCAAAATCAAGAATACATGTGAGATTGACAGTAACAAAGATTTAATGTAGGGGCACCAAACAACCTAAAGTATAGGAGGCCACACCACAATGCGTGAGAGTTGATTGCTGAAAAGCTGTATCATGACAGAGGACAAATTATATATATTGTATGTCTATAGTGGGGAAAGTGATAGTTGAGAAAAACTAGAACAAAATGATAGACTAAGCCACGGAGGTGATATGAGGGGTTTTTTGTTTGTAATTTAGTTGATTTAATAGCATGTGAAATCCTATATCGGGAGAAATCTTGAACCAATGAGTATCTAATAAGGGTTTAATAACACACGTTTAGTTGGTGAGTACTGAATAGGCCTTTGATAACATATGCTTAGTGCATCTTGCAAATATGCGTGTTGCTACACCCACATGTGATAAGAACTGAATAGGCCTTTGATAACATATGCTTAGTGCATCTTGCAAATATGCTTGTTGCTACACCCACATGTGATAAGAACTTTCATCATACTACAACGCTTTGCTTCAAAAGCACGCTTTAAGTTGGATAGATGTTAGGAACACTATCATCATATAAATAATCTAAAATGAAAGCCTTGTAGGATATGATAATGTGTATATTAACATAGGCGTCAGATGTGTGATTTGGATAAAGAAATAATTATAAAAGTGAAGTTCAAAGCATTTACATTAGTTGATCTTGACCTTATGGGTGAGTATTATTAGCATAACTCTACGGAGGATAGTTCCTTGTGCCCTCGGGAAGTTGATGACAACCCTTAGACTCAGACTTATGTTTGTTTCTGCAAATGATTGATCATAAATTTCTGATTTTGTTTAGTTATTTGTATTTAATGATTTATTTGGTGATTCGTGGTTAGGGAATACTTAAACATTTTCTCTTTTATTTATCATTCTTAGAATTGTTCATTCTTTCTTTACTGTTTCTCTTGTAATCCCTATGTTTCCTATTACTATAAATAGAATAATTACATTTAGGTTGCATTATTATGCATTTGAATGCAAAATTAAAATTCTCCTCTCTTATAGTGGTAGGATTGCTCTCACACACTATCTTTGTATATTTCTTTGTGCGTCTCCTTTCTAGTTCTTTGTCTTTTTCTTTATTCTCGAGTTCTCTTATTCTTCTCTAATTCCTCTTGTCTTGATGTTTATGTGCGAAATGGTCTTTATCCTACAAACTTAAATATATCACTAATCTCAGCTTTTAATTTCTTTATTTTTAAAATGTTCACAAGGTTCCATTAGTTTTTAAATAAAAATTTAGGCTGGCTTCAAGTTGTTTTTATTGATGGAAGCCATAAATTGTATATGATGCAGGGATATTCTTATTCAGAAGGATATCTTATTAAAATATCAGGTAGAGAATGTTTTTTTTTTAAATTTGTTTTGCTTTTAGGTAGTTTTCTTAGGATTGTTGATGTAAGTTTATGCTATAAGGTCAGGACATGCATTTCTTGGAAGATTGGAGATTATTTTTTTTCTCATGAATGATTTAGAGCTTATTTTTTTATTATGAATGATTTGGAACAAAATTATAAAATTTGAGGTTTTCTTCTTCAAGTGATTCCAAGAAGAGTAGGTGTGATTCCAAGGGAAATCCTTGATTGAATGATTTTAGAGATCCTTTCCTTCTTACATTCTCTTTTTCTTGTCATCCAAAATTAATATAGGCCACTGGTTTACTGGCTGACTGTATTACATTTTATACTTTGTTGGCTGAGATAGAGGGAGAACTGGAATAGTCTCTAGTATGGAGAAAAATTCTATAAATTTATATCAGCTGATGGCTACTGTCTTCATCTATGATGCACCGACACGGACACGGCGACACGGACGCGACACGACACGGACACGGGACACGGCAATTTTTAAAAATATAGGACACGGGTGCAGCGTGGACACGACGATTTTATCATTTAATAACCGGACACGCGTGTCCGATTTAGATTTTAATGTTTTAAATTCCGACACTCCAATGCCGTGTCGGACACGTGTCCATGCCGTGTCCGACACTGCATTCCCTCTTTAAGAGGCGTGTCGGTGCATCATAGGTCTTCATATGCCCTGGTAAAGAAGATATGAGGTAAAGTATGTCAATATGTGTCGCTATTTTCTTTTAACAATTCAAAATCGAGCAAGCATTTCTTATTTTGGTCATTGAGTAGATAAAAAAATATGTGAATTTGTTCATTGAAAATGCCAAAAGGCTATTGATTAAAGAGCCTCTAGAAGCCATAGCCATAACCAAGAACAGAAGTTCTAACTTAGGACTCTATTCACTTGTGTCAAGTCGTAACTTATATATGGAATTACACCATGATTTTTTTTTTTATAAATAGAGTGGTGTTCGGCATACCAAATCAAAATATTATTACCAAATCTTTTTTCATGGAACAATAATGCATGCTACTCTGTACATGTATGAAAGGGTAAAGAAGCGAACCGTTATGCTGAAAGGAAAGTAATTAAGAGTTCAATATATTCTAACTATGCGACAGTAGAATTCTGTAGGATCTCTTGTTTCTCAGTATTCCATGAACCCCTCCCCACCCCACCCACCACCCGCACAAACAGTAACATTCGCATTGCTACTGCCTCTCTACCAAGCATTAATTCTTACCAGCTGTGGAGTTAGCTGACATAAGTGACTTGCATAATTCGCTTATACTAAACATCATATAGATAGTCGGTAATAAGGATTTTATATCTGCTAAAAGATTTTCAAGAATGATTAACCATTTGTAGCAGCGCATGCTGTCTGACAAGAGAAGTTTGCATGGAAATGGCTGTAGGGAATGCTAAGAAGACCTTGTAATGTCATCCTTCCATTTGGTTTGTTTGATATACTGTTATCTTTATGATCCTTGAACTTGCAAATGTTTGGTTTTGGATAATTGGCTATATGAATAAAATGGCTACCCAATGCTCTTGGAATGTGATTCCATTATTGTTGTAGAAATTGGCTTTTAAGGCTCCTAAATAGTGGTCCGCTTGATTCTGAACTCTTATTTTATGTGTCTTGCAGTATTTGTTATGTGAAGCCGAGAAAAAGTCATCTCATCTTGTTGAATTCTTATTACAAAACATTTCAAAAAAGATAATAATGTAAGGATGTGAATAAAAATCTGTATTCCTTTCTAGTCCTTAATGCGTGTACGGTTTTGATTGTTGTGATGTAGTTTTTGCTCACTGCTTGCAGCTACTTCATGACCTGTGCTTGTGTTGACTACTGGGGCAGTGTTCTACCACAGCTTTCTGTTCTTAAAGGCTTTCCCTTAATTCCTCTGCACGGGAAGATGAAACAGGTGAGAATGGTGATTTTTAACTTATTTATCATCCATTAGCTTATCAAGGTGACACTGTTTTGCCACGTTTCAACCTGCTTCAATACTTCCTACTTTCTCTAGACTGCTCGGGAGAAAGCATTGTCATCTTTCTCTGCACTTTCAAGTGGCGTTCTTCTATGCACTGATGTAGCAGCAAGGGGACTAGATATTCCTGGTGTGGATTGGATCGTGCAGGTAAAATTTATGTTGTAGTTGTATAACAGAAGTATATTCCCTTTTATGTTACTTTTTGTGACGAGTCAATTCTTTCTGTACGTTGAACTTCGACAGCAATTGTGTGTCACCTGTGCTCCTTTTTGTCTATGTTGGATCTAGGTTTGGGCTGCATAAATTCTTTTAACTGTGGCAGTTAGTTGTTGGCTATTGTTTTAGGTGTACTTCCATGTCTCTCTAAAATGGGCCAATTAGGTTTCACGATTCCTTAGCTCTCCAATCAAGTGATTACAACAGTTGGAGTGTACTGTGGTTGTGACTTGTGAACAGCTCAAACTATTTTTATGAGATCTACACGAGCCTTGTACAGACATTTCAACTTTGCTAACTATTAGATATCATAAAAATATTTCATCTTTACTAGATTAATCATGATGCTAGTACAAATATGTTTATAGAAAAACCAAAGAAGAGAGCAATAAGGAAAGTATAATGAAGGAGAATATGTTTAATAACGAGGATATATTATAAATTATATTATAGATCTCCAATAAATATTAAACATTGGTGATAATATCAATACCATAATATAATAATTTAAATAATTCTAATATCCCGTGCAAACTCATGGAGTTATAGCAAGGAGCTTTGAGAGATGTATAGTGCAAAAAGATTGAGAGATCTAAGGTGAGAGTTATTTAACAGGTTTTTAAATTGCCAATCTGAGCCGATTGATGCTAGAATGAGATGTTTGGAGAACCGAGAACATTTAAAAGATTGACACTACATTGTTGAGTTTGAAGGCTTGACATGCCGTTGTAAAGTCAATGGGAGCAAAGATGTCGAGATGACGTTGGGTTACTAGCATTGTTGAGATAGGAGTGTGAAGAGAAAATAATTTGTACATGAAGAGAGTTCGGCGATGTGAATAGTAGAGAGTGCTTGATGAGGGTTAATAGGGCTAGGGCTATGTCATTTTCTAATACAAGCATGCCAATATAAAAATGATAAGGGTGCAATAAGAAAAAAACATAGTAAAGGAAAATTTCCCTCAATAATGAGGATATATTACAGTTATAAATATTATGTATACCTAAAAAAAATTAGGATATGTGATGAAATTATTATAATTACATAATAAATCTAATAAATCTAACAGTAACCATTTAAATCAACCTCCACAACAAACTTGGACAATTCTAAAGGAATTTATGAACATCACTTTGTAAAGAAGGCCAAAAATAATGTGGCAAGGTGATCTATTTAATTCTGCTTTGATCTGCTGTCAAATTTGAATGAAAGTCAGATAAAAGTGTTGATTTGTAGATCAGATGGAATATAAATTTTGTTCTTATAGAATAACAAGCCCACTTTAGACGAATAATTTGAATAGCTGGTTGGAGCATTAGTGACATTATTGATCAGTTGCTGACATTATTGAGCAGTTGCTGTAATGTAGGGTCCTCTGTGGTAGCTTGTTGAATATGATAAAGTAAGGGAGTGACTATAGAGGAAGTAGAAAAAGCTAGTAATTATAGAATCTGATTCATATAATTGAGACAAGATCAACCAATTTATTGGATCTTCTTGTATTATATTCAATAGAATAATCAAACCCAAGTAATATAACTAAAATCATTGTTGTTCAGGAGTTTGAAATAATTTCACGAATGCTACTTTGATTAGTTCTTATGATGAATTTTGCATCTAAAAGATATTGCCGCAACTTAGCAATATATTCTGTAATAGCAAAAGGTTTGCGAACATACTTAGAGAATGTTGTAGATGAGAATTTAAATTTTTATTTTAAAAGGCAATTAATTGCTTTCCTTGGATTAATATGGCCCCAATCCCAGTCTCAAAAGCATCTGTTTCAATATTAAAAGACTTAGTGGAATCTGTAGGGCTAGCAAAGGAGGATTAGATAATGCTAATTTCAAACCTTCAATGTAACATCGGAGTAAGGCATCCAATTAAAAGAATCTTTCTGTTGTAATTTGTTGGGAAAGTGAAGAACAACCCGTCAATAATAACCAGTAAGGCCCAAAAACCCATGCAATTGTTTAACTGTCATAGGCGTCGACCATTGTGAAATAGCAGAAGTTTTAGTTTCATCTGGTGATGCGTATATTGCCAACTATATGTTTTAATAAGGAATAGTAACTTGATAAAAAAAAAGTTTGGACTTAACGTGAAAAAAGTGAGTTTCCCCTTAAACAATTAAAATAGTATTCAAATGATGGACATGATTATTCATGGATTGACTGTAAATGATAATATCATTGAAGAAAATAATAATGAATTGACATAGATAAGGTTAGAATATAATTAATTAGGATTTTAGAAGCATGGATATTAGAGAGACCAAATGACATAACTAGAAACTTGTAATGACCCTCATGAAGCACACAACTGTTTTATGACTATTAGTGATAGCCACATGAACTTGATGATAATTAGAATGTAAATCAAGTTGTGAAAAAATAGTGACTCCATAAAGTTAATCAAATAACTCTTTGATAGTAGAAATTAGATATACCTATTTGGAATAAAATTTTCTTTAAAGCTCGATAATTCACACAAAAATGCTAAGAACCATCTTTCTTTTTATCAAAAACAACATGTGAACAAAATGGATTGACTCTAAGATGGATAACTAAAACTTGTAATGTCGTTAACCATGATTATAATTTGCATTTTTTTGACAATGAGGGTAACGATAAGGCTTAATATTAATAGGCTGAGAACACGAAATTATATGGATTAAGTGATCATGAGAGCATTGAGGGAGAAGATACGTAGAAGTTGTAAATAAATATCAAACTGAGAGATAAGCAATTGTAAAGGTGCCAGTATAATAGGTGTGGAAGAAGGAATAGGGCTATGATCAACCCCGATGTGTACCGACTGAAAATAAGCAGCAATGCGATTAGTATCATTTAATGTTTTTTTTTTTAAATGAGGGTAACGATAAGGCTTAATATTAATAGGCTAAGAACACGAAATTATATGGATTAAATGATCATGAGAGCATTGAGGGAGAACATACGTAGAAGTTGTAAATAAATATCAAACTGAGAGATAAGCAATTGTAAAGGTGCCAGTATAATAGGTGTGGAAGAAGGAATAGGGCTATGATCAACCCCGATGGGTACCGACTGAAAATAAGCATCAAACAATTAAAATAGCATTCAAATGATGGACATGATTATTCATGGATTGACTGTAAATGATAATATCATTGAAGAAAATAATAATGAATTGACATAGATAAGGTTAGAATATAATTAATTAGGATTTTAGAAGCATGGATATTAGAGAGACCAAATGACATAACTAGAAACTTGTAATGACCCTCATGAAGCACACAATAGTTCTATGAATATTAGTGATAACCACATGGACTTGATGATAATTAAAATGTAAATCAAGTTGTGAAAAAATAGTGACTCCATAAAGTTAATCAAATAACTCTTTGATAGTAGAAATTAGATATACCTATTTGGAATAAAATTTTCTTTAAAGCTCGATAATTCACACAAAAATGCTAAGAACCATCTTTCTTTTTATCAAAAACAACATGTGACAAAATGGATTGACTCTAAGATGGATAACTAAAACTTGTAATGTCGTTAACCATGATTATAATTTGTTTTTTTTTTTAAATGAGGGTAACGATAAGGCTTAATATTAATAGGCTAAGAACACGAAATTATATGGATTAAATGATCATGAGAGCATTGAGGGAGAACATACGTAGAAGTTGTAAATAAATATCAAACTGAGAGATAATCAATTGTAAAGGTGCCAGTATAATAGGTGTGGAAGAAGGAATAGGGCTATGATCAACCCCGATGGGTACCGACTGAAAATAAGCAGCAATGCGATTAATAAGAACAATCCGTCAATAATAACCATTAAGGCCCAAAAATCCATGTAATTGTTTAACTGTCCTAGGCGTCGACCATTGTGAAATAGCAGAAGTTTTAGTTTCATCTGGTGATGCATATATTTCCAACTATATGTTTTAATAAGGAATAGTAACTTGATAAAAAAAAAACTTTGGACATAATGTGAAAAAAATTGAGTTTCCCCTTAAACAATTAAAATAGCATTCAAATGATGGACATGATTATTCATGGATTGACTGTAAATGATAATATCATTGAAGAAAATAATAATGAATTGACATAGATAAGGTTAGAATAGAATTAATTAGAATTTTAGAAACATGGATATTAGAGAGACCAAATGACATAACTAGAAACTTGTAATGACCCTCATGAAGCACACAATAGTTCTATGAATATTAGTGATAACCACATGGACTTGATGATAATTAAAATGTAAATCAAGTTGTGAAAAAATAGTGACTACATAAAGTTAATCGAATAACTCATCGATAGTAGAAATTAGATATGCCTATTCGGAATAAAATTTTCTTTAAAGCTCGATAATTCACACAAAAATGCCAAGAATCATCTTTCTTTTTAACAAAAACAACATGTGAACAAAATGGATTGACTCTAAGATGGATAAATAAAACTTGTTAGGTCATTAACCATGATTATAATTTGCATTTTTTTGACAATGAGGGTAACGAGAAGGCTTAATATTAATAGGCTGAGAACACGAAATTATATGGATTAAATGATCATGAGAGCATTGAGGGAGAAGATACGTAGAAGTTGTAAATAAATATCAAACTGAGAGATAAGCAATTGTAAAGGTGCCAGTATAATAGGTGTGGAAGAAGGTATAGGGCTATGATCAACCCCGATGGGTACCAACTGCAAATATGCAGCAATGCGATTAGTATCATTTAATTTTTTGACGATGAGGGTAACGATAAGGCTTAATAATAATAGGCTGAGAACACGAAATTATATAGATTAAATGATCATGAGAGCATTGAGGGGGAAGATACGTAGAAGTTGTAAATAAATATCAAACTGAGAGATAAGCAATTGTAAAGATGCCAGTATAATAAGTGTGGAAGGAATAAGGCTATGATCAACCCTGATGGGTACCGACTGAAAATAAGCAGCAATGAGATTAATAAGAACAACCCGTCAATAATAACCAGTAAGGCCCAAAAACCATGTAATTTAACTGTCGTAGGCGTTGACCATTGTGAATAGCAGAAGTTTTAGTTTTATCTGGTGATGTGTATATTGCCAACTATATGTTTTAATAAGGAATAGTAACTTGATAAAAAAAAACTTGGACTTAACGTGAAAAAAAAGTGAGTTTCCCCTTAAACAATTAAAATAGCATTCAAATGATGGACATGATTATTCATGTATTGACTGTAAATGATAATATCTTTGAAGAAAATAATAATGAATTGACATACATAAGGTTAGAATAGAATTAATTAGAATTTTAGAAGCATGGATATTAGAGAGACCAAATGACATAACTAGAAACTTGTAATGACCCTCATGAAGCACGCAACAGTTTTATGAATATTAGTGATAACCACATGAACTTGATGATAATTAGAATGTAAATCAAGTTGTGAAAAAATAGTGACTCCATAAAGTTAATCAAATAACTCATCGATAGTAGAAATTAGATATACCTATTTGGAATAAAATTTTCTTTAAAGCTCGATAATTCACACAAAAAATGCCAAGAACCATCTTTCTTTTTAACAAAAACAACATGTGAACAAAATGGATTGACTCTAAGATGGATAACTAAAACTTGTAATTTCATTAACCATGATTATAATTTGAATTTTTTTGACAATGAGGGTAACGATAAGGCTTAATATTAATAGGTCAAGAACACGAAATTATATGGATTAAATGATCATGAGAGCATTGAGGGAGAAGATACGTAGAAATTGTAAATAAATATCAAACTGAGAGATAAGCAATTGTAAAGGTGCAAGTATAATAGGTGTGGAAGAAGGAATAGGGCTATGATCAACCTCGATGGGTACCGATTGAAAATAAGCAGCAATGCGATTAGTATCATTTAATTTTTATAATTGATGCAAGTGAATGTATTTAGCAATAGTATTAATATGAACACATAACGTGATCTGTTTTCCATGCCATTGAAATTGCATGATATACATTTTAAAGTTTGTAAGGAAATAATCAAGTAGCTCGAGACATTGAATTCCTAACACCATGTAGCTCCATGAATAGGAAGAACAAAAAGATCCATGGAAAAATGATTACCCTGTATATTGAGATTGACATTTGAAGATTTGCTTGTGCAAGTTCAGTTGTCGCTATTTTCCACCATGACCTTGAATGGTGAATTCTGAACTATCGACAACCCAATAAATTTAACCAGTTGTTTTTGAATAAATTTGTGGGTAGACTCAGTATAGATAAGAATATGAACTTGATGATTAAAGAGAAACCCATGAAGTTATTCTTTGGTGAAGGTTGGCCATCAAAAGCATGATGACTAATAGTTGTTGCTTCATTCATGTCATCAAGTAAAGATAGCAGATCCTGAGGAGATTGATTGCAGTGACACCACACATCACAATTATTGCAGAAACCTTTTTTTACGATTCTCTGTCATTTCTGCTAAGGCGGCGAGCTTTTGGATTGGGAAAGAAGGTTTAGTCGGTGTAGTGTAAAAAATATCAGGTTTGAGTGATGGAGGTTAGTTGTTGAGATTCATTGAAAGTTGGAAGAACCTGAAAAATATAAAACAAAAGAAAAAGTGGCATCACAAAATTTATCTACAAATAACTTAGCCAAATCAGTGGCTTGATCAAGAGTAGATGGCGTAAACCTCTCTATGGATATTTGATTTAGGGACCCACCCATGACTCAAAACAACTTCGCAAAAGCATTGTCAATATCGGGAAAAAAACTGCTAGTTGCCCAAATTGGTTTTGAAATTCTAAAATAGTTGAGTGCTGAAATAATTTTTTGAGTTCACCTCTAAAATTTTGTTTTTGGAGGGGCCAAGCCTGGAATTCTAGACCTTTAAAAATTCCAGCCAACTCGAGAGCCGATGAATCTTCTCAACCCACAAAAACCATTCCTCCGTCAGTCCAATCATATGGAAAGAAATCAAAGAAAGCTTATCCTAACTGGACAGCTTATGAAATCCATAAAATTGATCAACTTTTTGAATCCACGCTTTTGGATTTCCTCTGGAAAACTGATACAGTTCCAACTTGATCCCACAAAAAGGATTAGGGCTCAGTTGTGCTGGTATGCTAGAAGAAACTGATGTGGGTAAATTGGTGAAGGAAGCAGACTACTTTGGGGTTGGGAATCTTTCTTGGCTTTCAACTTACCTGATTTATTATTAATTTCTTGAAGAAGACCCCAAAAGATTTAAGGAGATAATCATACCTCCACCATCTTGACAGAAGATTGGATGCCTTCAACTAGGGGTGTAAGTGAGTCAAGCCAACTCGTGAGTTGGCTCAATAACTAGCTCGTGAGCCGAGCTTGATGAGTTAACGAGTCGAGCTTGAGCTAGCACTGACTCAACTCATTAGCTCGCGAGCCGACTTGTTTAAAAAATATTAGTATAAAATGCATTTAAAATATATTAGCATTTAAAATTTTAAGTTCAAAATTATTAAAAATATTTTAAAAGTTATATCTCACCTTTTTATTTTAGGCTATTCGTTATTATTTTTCTTATTTCTCATTCTTTTAATAATTTTATTATAGTAATTGGTTAAATCAATATCATTTCTCTCTTTCATAATAAATGAAACGGCTCGAACTCGTAGAATAAAGCCCGAGCTCGAACTTGATTAATTAATCAAGTTCAAACTTAAGCTCAAGCTAAGGGTGACTCGAGCTCGGCTTGACTTGTTTACACCCCTACCTTCAATTAAAAAAAAATATAAGGAAATGACTGAATAAAAATGAAAGCGCTGTGAGATGAGAAGTAAACAAAGATCGGTAGAGATTATGTGATTTGTGATAGGAGAAACTAGAAAGGGATGAGCGAAAAGGAGCAAACTAGGAGGTCTTAACAAAAAAGATCGATTGATGGATCAACTTAAGTTGACTAGCTATGGCACGAGGAGTATGGGCATGGAATGGAGATAAATGGAATAAGGAGATGAAGAACTGGACAAGGAGATGAAAGAAGAAAAGAAAGATTTATTTATTTCTTACCCCACAATAGAATAACATCTTTATTTATAATGAGGTTCCTACAAACATGCTAATACATTGCTTAAGCTAAAGCCAAAAAAATCAGTACATCCATTAATGATGTAATTAGTATCATTTTGGCATGTGAAGTCCTTCAACCAAGGTGGTGTTTTCCTACTCCTATGTGATTGCCGAGGGTCATGATGGTAATACTGCGGATGGCGTATCATGTTCCTACATTTCCATCTTATCCCACTATGATAAATGATGTCAAGACTACTCAATAATCTTGCAATCTTGTTCATCCGCATCCTCCATGCCACAGGATGCCAAGATTTATACTCATATTAAGCTGCTGTACGGTTATAAATATTCAGGTTCCTCTTCCCTTTTTTGTTTTACCTCCTTATTTATGCTCTTTATTGTCCTCCTGAAATTCCAATATTCTTATCACTCTTCTCACGAAACAAGTCACTCTCCAAATTTAGCCCACTTTATCGTTCTTGTTTTCCTCGTGGCTCTTCCTGTTCTCCATGAGATACTTGTGTTCGCCCTCTCACCTCTCCCTACCCCTTTTGTGGTATTAATTGAAGTTACTGAGTAAGAAAGCACTATTAGAGTTTTAAATGTGAATGAATCAGATATGATCAAGAAAGTTGTTTACTTAATCTGTTCAAAGATGCATATAATTAAAGAATGTTAATGGCCCATTTATGATTTGCGAATTTGAAATTTATTTTCCGGAAATTAATTATGAATGGAAATATCTTTGGCTTAGTGCAATCTTAGCTGTTGACTTGAATCAGACGTGAGAGCTTTTCTGAAATTGTAAGAGAAAACTTCTTGGGATGTTATTGTGTTAATGATGAATAAATTTAACAAATTTGTTGTGTTACTGTTTCAGTATGACCCTCCTCAAGATCCGAATGTATTCGTGCATAGAGTTGGCAGAACTGCACGGATAGGAAGGCAAGGAAATGCCATCGTATTTATCATGCCAAAGGTTTGCTTGTTTTTGCAGCTTTAATTTCACAAATTGTTACCTGAGGAATTATGCTTCCAGTTTGACTTTATATGCCCTTTTATAGGAAGATGCTTATGTTGAGCTTTTGAGTCTAAGAAGGGTGCCAACTCAAGAGAGAAAATGCTTTTCCCCTGCCCTTGATGTCATTCCTTTGGCAAGTTTCCTTATATTTTTATATGCCGTATATTATTGTTTTTGGTGACATCTATGCTATAATCTGTTTTATATTTTATTTTTATTACTTGGTCTGTTTTTTTTTTCTCTAAAATTATTCCGTACGATTTGAAATGCTGCATACTAAACTCATGTTACGGAAGCTTGATTTATCTTTGCTCAACAGCTTTTGGTCTTTTTTCCTCTTATTACGTGCTTCTATGACATCTTTAAGAGGACTGAATGATATGCAAGGATAAAAAGTTTTAACCAGAAATACTTTAGTAACTTTTTTGTGTTAAAATGATCAATCGCTAAGTCATCACTTTATGAACAATCAGAAGGTTGATCTATTACATTCTCCACATCTTTGTTGTCATACATATAGTAATAAACATTTGGCCTCCGATACCTATTTCTTGTTTCAGATGATCCTTCTTTGCCTTTTCTTTTTTCAAGAGTTAATTCAGGATTGTTTATACGTGATTTGACATTCCTTCAATCTTTTATGTAGGATAAACATGCGATTGTTGAAGTTGCAATAATATCTTTTCTTACACTTATATTATAACAATGTTGCAGCATGGAAACTTGTCTTAAGGACTTCGGAAGTTATGAACTTTTGTTCTCAACATCTGAATCTCAGTAGATTTTATTGAGATTCTAGCTGTTGGATACACATGAGCTCACGATTTTTATCAACATGTTGAAATACTTTGTTTCGCATGCTTTTGATTTTCTGCCCTAAAATAAAATAGAGTTAAATGTGATTGCTTGCTGTGACTAGTATTATGATATCTGGCTGTGTTTTTTTTTTGTGCTTTAGGTAGTACACGCGCCATATTGTAGAGGACTTTCCATCTCCAATGCCAAATTACACTGCATCTCCCTACTAAATAAAGGAAATTTTTTGGGTTAAAATATCCTAATTAATTTTTGATCAAAATGGGTATCTAAATCATTGAATGTTTTGAGATGATTGTAATATATGAATCAATGAAAATTTATATTGTACTAACGTCAGTGCAAATTCAATGCCAAATTTTATTCCTAAATAACAATTTTTGTTTTGGTGATTTTATTTTTCAATACATATTTTGCAATGTTGGAAACCTTCATTCAATTTAATGCTTTGAAGGACTGCAGGCTTGTTAAATGTCACTTTTGCAGATAAGGGCTGCTGCAATGAAAGATCGAGCCATCATGGAGAAGGGTCTTAAAGCATTTGTGTCATTTATTCGCGCATATAAAGAGCATCACTGCTCTTACATCTTCAGGTTGTGTCTTCCATCAATACAATTCAAATCATTCAGTACCTTCTTTTTTTGATGACCAATCCTTTACAGATGGAAAGAACTGGAGATAGGGAAATTGGCAATGGGATATGGCTTATTGCAGATCCCTTCAATGCCAGAAGTAAAGCATTATTCTTTATCGATTGATGGTTTTACTCCTATAAATGATGTTAATGTTTCTCATATCAAATACAAGTAAGTTTTTTCCCCCCTGTCCTAGTTAGCTAACTAAAGCTGGTTTATGTATATCTTTAGGAGAAACATTTGGGTCTGGAAATCCTCAAAATTTGATTAGGAATTTTAATTTCTTTAATTTATTTTGAGCTGAGTGTAATATAAAAATTAATTGATTTTTTATATATTTCTATCATTTTAATGCTGATCTAGGATCCAATTAGGATATATACACACTAAATTTATTTTCCATTTCTTTATCCTTCAAACTAGAGATCATTAATTCCTCTTTCATCTTTAATCAAACATTTTTCCCCTTTTATATTTTCCTGAACGCAGAGACAAAGCCCGGGAGAAACAAAGACAGAAGACATTACAACAGAAGAAAGAAGCAGAATCTCAACTGCCAAAATCAGAAACTGACAAGCAAAGTTTTAAACTTGCTCCTACATTGGTAAGGAAGAAAACTGGAAAGCAGCGAAAATCTATTCGAACAAAAGAAGATGATGCAGAATTGGAACGCGAGTACCGGTTATTGAAAAGACTCAAGAGAGGGGCTATTGATGAAAGTGAATTTGATAAACTTACTGGGTTTACAGGATTTGAGGAAGAGGATGGGGATACTGAGACTAATGTACTACAAGTATCAAATCTTCCAAAGCACAAAAACAGAAAGCACAAATTGAAGCATAAAGGCAGTGTTAATAGATCAGCAGTGAAAGGAGAGAATTCCAAAGATAGAAATTTCAAGTCAAATTGCTTGGCCAAGGTTCATAAGAAGAGGAAATGATATGTGATTTGATTGTGTAGCTTAGATTAAAAGTTAGTTGTCGCTGCTGAATATAATGATTTTTAAATTAGCAGGCATAATGGTAACAGGAATGATGAGATGGATTATTTTGTTATAATTTAAATTATTAATTTTATTTTGATTATTAAAATATATTTTAACTGGTTAGTTTGAGATATGCAATGGAGTATTTTTTTAGTGCGGATATATTTTTTTTAAACAGTCAAGTTTTAAATATATGATGTGCTCTTTATTTTAGGTGGGGCTTGAATTAAAATAAATAGAATTTAAATGACCATTTTATGTTAATTTATTTATGGATGGAGAATACATTGGATGAATTTTGTTTTATAATTTGGATTCAGAACATTGAGTTTTTGTATGATTGAGGGTCAATTTTGGATGACTACAGTTTCTATAAAGATGATTATAAGATTGTTGTGGAGAAAGCAGTTTTTTTGAGTGTTGTAAGAAATGGTGTTTTAGAATATAAATTTTTTGAAAGCAGCAAGTAGTAGTAAAAAAGAATTATGATTGTGATGTGAAAAGCAAAATAGTAAAAAATTTGTCTCAAATAGGAGAAATTATTCTGTGTGGAATCCGATCGCAAAGATGTGTTCGGTTGCTTACGTGGAAAGGGTTAAAAAGTCAATTGACTTGCGTAAACCTCGTAAACTCGACCCGTCTTTCAGCCCGACCCGGGAGATAATGTTAAATTTAGTTTGACGCTTATTTTTTCAGAATTTAAGGCGCGAATCACAGCAATATATAACGCTTAGAGCCAAAATTTTCGCAGAAAGAATGCCGATGAAGATGGAGATTGATCTGGATCTGGAGGAGGATGCAGGTTTTTATGAGCAGACAATATTTTTGCAGGTCTCGGAGGAAGCCGATAACCTGGAGAATGCCGACGTCCAGGAAACAAGTGCACATGAAGCAGAACACGTAGAACCAGTGATACAAGACGAAAAGTTCAGCTTATCGGTAAACTTCGCCTTCTTCCAAGTTTTCTTTATAGCAATGTTGCAATCAAATTTCTTTACATAGTCATTTTAGGGTACAAATATTTTAGATGTTCCTTTTTTGATGTAATTATTATCAACAATGTACATAATGTTAAATTGTAATTGATTTTAGAAGCAAGAATCGATGCTCCCTTATTTTATAGTATTATTGAGCTAGGGTACAATAACGAATATGTAGTTCGATTTTCTTATTGCAAAGCTTTGTTACGTATTAATTGCGCATGTATTGCTTATTGGTTTGATATACATTGAGTATTATGTGCGTATTGAATTGTTATACATTGCGTATTAATTGCGCATATGTTGTGATTTTATTACGTATTGGTTGCGTATTGGTTGGGTATTGCTTTGCTTAATTACTGCTTATTGGTTGCGTATTGGATAATTCATTTATTGCTTGTTTATCAGGATGTTTATGTTAATGAGAAAGAGGCATACGAGGCTTATCATAAGTATGGATATAATCTTAGTTTTAGTGTTCGTAAGGATCATCACAGTTACTGGCCTAATTCTAGAAATTTAAAATCCAAGGACTTTGACCTCTAAGATCATGTTTGGTTGCAGGATCTTTATAGGATAAGGAATAAGTGGTCAACAGCCTTCAATAAGGATTGTTTTAGCATGGACATTCTATCCACACAACGTAGCGAGTCTACTAATAATGTGTGTCATGGCATTTCTAAGCCCACAAGTTCTAAACTGATTACTTTTTGGGTTTAGAGAAGGTGATGAGGAATTGGCGCCGGAATGAACAGGATGAGGATTATAGATGCAGCCAGTCTGAAATAGAACCTGTAATAAAAAATTGCTCAATTTTATTCAAAGAAAATATATTCATTTTTTGAACAAGAATTTTTACAAGGTGTTGGTGTAATGAGTGTAGAGCTTGAGTCTAGTGATTCTTCAAAATTTTTTGTCTATTACACAGAGAAAAAGGATCACTCTAAACCATGGGTTGTTGATTTTGATGCACAGAATGGTAACATTCAATGCTCCTGCAGAAAGTTTAAAACGATGGGTTTATTGTGTTCTCACTGCATAATAGTTTTGAGGCAAATGGTTATTCGGAAAATCCCCGAGAAATACCTACTGTTGCGATGGTCAGCATGAGCTCGACAAGACATATATTATGGTCTAAATTTGAAAGAAAATTCTCAGAATAGCTATGAAGCTAGTAGTGGATTCATATTCAGAAATTATATCAGCAGGTTTGCATATGAAATGAGCACACGAGCGCAGCTGAATGAGGGTGGTGAAGAATTCCTATTGGCTGCGATGAAGGATACATCTGAAAAACTCGATTTGGTTGTTTTTGGGAAGAGAAAGACATACAAGTTTACACAGGGTGGCAGTGTACAACTGAAAGATCCCCTAAAGCGTAGGCCTAAAGGCATATCCAATGCTAGGCTGAAAAGCCACTGGGAAAAGAAGACAAAGAGTATGATTATAATTTCAGACTATTTTGATTTATTGCCTATTGTGTTGTTATTAATTTTTTTAACAGGGAAACCAACAGTGAAGAAATACACAACAAAAATTGAGACTCCTTTAAGCATGCCTGAATGCTTAACGGAGGATTTCATAAATTCTGTACACTCCAAGCAAACATTAGCTCAACAGTGTAATTTCACAAGCATGCCTGAATGCTTCACTGAGGACTTCATAAATGCTGCACATTCCAGTCAGCCATCTCCAGCTAAGCAGTACAATTTCACAAGCATGCCCGAATGGTTAGCGGAGGACTTCATATCACAAGCATGCCCGTCTAGTCAGGCATCAGTACAGCAGTTCACAAGCATGCATGAGTGCTTGACAGACGATTTCATAGCCGGGGAACCGTCCAGTCAACCATCAGCAAAGCGAGCAAAGCAATCTAATTTCACAAGCATTCCCAAATGCTTCACAATGGAACATATAAAAGGTGTACGTTCAAAAAAGCCATCAGCAACATGCCTGAAGTTGATGATGGATATCATTAAATCAGAAAATTCCATGTTATAAGAATATTTGTATGATGGATATTTGTAAGAATATTTGTTGATAAGATGTTTATTTAATAAATAATATTTGTTTTAGCTGTTAATTTTCATTTGCGTATGGTTTGCGTATACAAAGTGAATACAGCCCATATACCGCGCGTATACAGCGCGTATACCGCGCGTATACCAACGCGTATATAGTGCGTATACAGCGTGTATACAGCGCTTATATAGATTGTATTTTCTATATTTCTGAAAAATGCAATCTATTTTACATCACACTCTGACAAAGAGAGACTTTGGGTGTCAGTGTACAAAGCACAAACAGATAGTATTTTCTCTATTTTCTATATTTTTTATAATCATTTTCCAACACACTCTGACAAAGAGAGACTTTGGGTGTCAGTGTACAAAGCGCAAACATATAGTATTTTCTATATTTTATATATTTTTTATAATCATTTTTAAAATGAGTATTTGAATGATTCAAACAGAAGAAATGCATCGAATCAATTAAATTCGAATTAATTTAATTTTTTTGAGAAAAAACCAAGAACTGCCATTTGCGTATTCAATGCGCATGAAATGTGTCTACAACGCATACGTTATGCGTATAACATGCGTACTTTATTTACCCTCATATAAATCTTCTTAATCGATTTGAATGAGGATTCAATGGTGAGAAACCCTATATCCAACGCTCCCTGATTGTTTATTGACGGGGCGAATCATTCGAAAAAACTTTGATTCTCCATGTGGTCTAATGAGTCCTCAACCATTGAAGCACAACACACACACTCTAGAACCATCACTTGTGTAGCACAAGGGTGTTCTCAAACCACAAGTCTCCTTGTGAGATTTTTTATAATCATTTTGCAACGTTTCTAAAATGAGTATTTGAATTATTCAAACAGAAGGAATGCATCGAATCAATTAAATTCGAATTAATTTAAATTTTTTGAGGAAAAACCAAGAACTGCCATTTGCGTATTGATTGCGTATGAGATGCATCTACAACGCGTACGTTATGCGTATAATGTGCATACTTTATTTAATCACATATAAATTTTCTTAATCGATTTGAATGAGGATTCAATGGTGAGAAACCCTAAATCCAACGCTCCCTGATTGTTTATTGACGGGGTGAAGCATTCGAAAAAACTTTAATTCTCCATGTGGTCTAATGAGTCCTAAACCATTGAAGCACAACACTCACACTCTAGAACCATCACTTGTGTAGCACAAGGGTGTTCTCAAACCCAAAGTCTTCTTGTGAGATTTTTTATAATCATTTTGCAACGTTTCTAAAATGAGTATTTGAATGATTCAAACATAAAGAATGCATCGAATCAATTAAATTCGAATTAATTTAATTTTTTTGAGGAAAAACCAAGAACTGTCATTTGCGTATTCAATGAGCATGAAATGCGTCTACAACGCATACGTTATGCGTATAACGTGCGTACTTTATTTACCCTCATATAAATCTTCTTAATCGATTTGAATGAGGATTCAATGGTGAAAAACTCTATATCCAACGCTCCCTGATTGTTTATTGACGGGGCGAATCATTCGAAAAAACTTTGATTCTCCATGTGGTTTAATGAGTCCTCAACTATTGAAGCACAACACACACACTCTAGAACCATCACTTGTGTAGCACAAGGGTGTTCTCAAACCACAATTCTCCTTGTGAGATTTTTTATAATCAATTTGCAACATTTCTAAAATGAGTATTTGAATGATTCAAACAGAAGGAATGCATCGAATCAATTAAATTTGAATTAATTTAATTTTTTTTGAGAAAAAACCAAGAACTGTCATTTGCATATTCAATGAGCATGAAATGCATCTACAACGCGTACGTTATGCGTATAACGTGCGTACT